AACTGCATACTCATAGTAACTCTTCACTTATTATTCATACAATTTGTAAAATTCTTTACATTTTTATTATAATCACATTATAATTTTTCCAAACAAGCACGTGATTAGTTTTACAAAAGTTTTGCAATGATTTTTTTAAGTTCATAATCCATCTCTATTACATAGAGCGGTGGCTGAAATATTCATAAGTTAATTTTTTTAATTTTTTTTTTTTTTTAAATTAGAGCTAATAAGATAGCTGTTGCATCTCTTTAATTTTTGAGCAAATCATTTCCCGCTTTGTCCGTCAAATGCTTCAGTCACATTCAGGGATGGAGCCAGCATTCGACGAACCCCTGTGGACGCCCCTGTTGACTCCATTATAAATTTTTTTCCCCTTATATTTAGCACCCGCTCGTGCTCACTTGAATTCATGAATCTGTTATTGGTCGTATTCATGATATTATCGAAAGATTGTGTATAGGCTGTAAACAAACTTTATATCAAATAGTCCTCCTATCGCGTGAATATCAAATTGATCACATTATGTGTTATAGATTCATATATGATTAAGGTAATATAATGTTGATTTTCTTATGTTAATTTAAGCATCCTATTGCATTGCTTAGCTTGAAAATTGGCCAAGTCGATATTTACCTAGCTCAAATTGAGACATTCTAGTCTTGCTTTATGTGTTGGCTATACATGCGTAAATGAAGTCAAATCATTTTTTCTAGTCAATTTGGTCTATTATTCCATTTAGAAGCACGATATCTAAACTTGATCAAGATCAATTGTAATGCCTTGATTCCTCAAGTCAAGTTGATGAATTCATTTTTTATTTTTTGCCATACTGTAGTACCGCGTAAACATGTAATTACACTTTACACAGTAACTTTATCAGTTGATACTGTAGCTTCATGTTGAAAGTTAATCGCTTCATTATCTGAGAATCGGGTTGGCTCACAAGCTGGTTTTGCTAGCCATATCTTTCCTAGTTGACTTACAATAATTAAGCTTAGAGTATGTAATGCAGGGCTGCTAGAAGAAAAAATCATAAATAATTGGAAAAGAGAGAAAATCAGGAGATCTATGAAAATATCCATAACTTTCAACTTGAATATCGGATTTTCATTCGTAAGTACAATCTGAAAGTTTTTTTCGATTTTGCACATATTTTTTTCATGACATTGTTAACTTTTGGAGCCAAATTCCATCGTTTAGAGCTCCATTTTAGCATTTTTCTGTTTTGAATCTGTTTAAGGGCATTTTTGTCATTTCATAAGGAAATTAAACATGAACGGATTGTGAAGCCTATAGTTCGGAGAGAAAATAACATTTGACTTACAATAGAAGAAAGCAAATCAGATATCAGAGATAAGAAAGAGAAAGATATATCGATAAAATTCGTGGAGAAGAATATGGAGATTTTGTATGTATTGTGGAGAAAATCTTATGCTTACCCAAGTAAAAAGATTTAATTCAGAGTGAAAAGATTTTTTAGGCCAATGATGTTGTTTGCAGTTAGATCATAGAGAGTAGCAGTTGTGAGAATTTGATCACGAAAAAGCTAATGCATCATCTGAACTTGCCAAACAAACCACATCTAGATCATTTTCAGATTGGATGGATTAAGAAGGGTTCGTCTATTTGGGTTACTCAAATTTTTAAGGTACATTTATCAATCGGGACTTGTTACAAATGAGAAATTATTTGTGATCTTGTTCAGTTGGATAGGTGTCATATTCAGTTGGATAGATCATGGCGGATTGATGTGGATGTCATAAATAAAGGTAGATAAAATACCTACAAGTTTAAGTGGAAAGATAAAAAAAATTACATTGTACCAACAGGAAGGGCGCATAAAGCTTCTAAACCGAAAGGGGAAGATTTTCTGACCAATACAAATTCAAATAGTGATTTTTCCTCCCAAAAGCCTTTGTATTTAGATGACAACTTAGGGTCGAGTTGTTTTGAAGTGGTAGGGAATAACGCGGGATAGTTAGAAGAGAAAATCATTAATAATTGGAAAAGAGAAAAAAATTAGGAGGATTTATTAAAATATGCTTGACTTTCAGCTCGAGTGACGAATTTTCATCCGTGGGCACAATATGAAAACAATTTTCTATACTGCACATATTTTATTATGATTTTGTCAAATTTTTGGAGTTGAATTCCGTCGTTTAGAACTTTATTTTAACATATTTTTTTTGTTTTGAGTCATTTTAAGAATATTTTCGTTATTTTTACCGTATTTTAGTTTTATTCAAGTTTATTCAATAGTTTTTTAGTTTATTTGAATTTATTTATAGAATTAGAATTTTATTTTGATTAGGAATTGTTTTGAGCCTATAAATACGCGTTAATATTGTAAAATAATTCATTCGATTCTTGATTAATAAAATATTTTAGTTTTCCTATTTATTGGTAGATTCCAATATTTATTTGGTGGATTCCAAATAGTTTTCACGTCCATTTGCGCAAAATTCGAGCTAACACCCATTCGTGTATTATGAACAAGATACATTTATTATTATTCACGTTTCCATCCTGCATCAGTATGTGTAGCAAAGCTTAAATTATAATTGAAGCCGGTTATAAATTGTTTTTATTCCCAGATTTCGTGAGATCACGACTTTCTACCCATTCATTATCTACAATTTCACATATTCATGACAATCCACAAGTTATAAACATTTTAAAGCACTACTAAACCGTTAGTCTCACCCTCTCCCTTCCCTCACCTTCTTTTCACAATAAACCATTATTTTGTAAAATTTTTGTTTGTTAAAAAAATTAATCAAACTTCATTTTTAACACTCACAATTCATCGATCCCACAACTTTGATACAATTTAAGTTACATATTTTATCAACATCACACGGTCCGTGGACAAGTGAAGAAGGCTAGCAAACCACCCCGATCCATCACTTCAGCCCCAATTGGCCAAAAAATTTGGGGCAATAGTGCGTGTTGACATTGAAAAATGGCTCCGACACGTGGCCAATAGAAAATGTCTTCGAGTCAGCTTTTCCTGCACAGGTAACACGCCGTTAGTCAGTCGTGGCCTTTCCCGGAGGGGTTGGGAGCAGTCGCAAGCACTCCGATGGTCAAGTCAGTTCAAAGTTCAACCGGAAAAGAGTTCACCGGCGATGGAATACTCGCCGGAAGTGGTTGACAAAGTGTATATAAAAGAAAAGGTTAATATCCAATGGAAGAGAATACTTAATTTCACAATGTAATGGTAGTTTTTGAGAGTGTTGGATTCCAATCCATCTTCTGGCACAAGGAGATGATATTTATACTAAGGATGGGAAGATGAGAGCCGTTGGATGAGGAGACACGTGTAATCAGATTCTTAGGGCTCATCTCATCCTAGGTGTCAATCCGTCCCTCCATAGGTTGGCTGGCATTGAATGTCTCTGACAAAGATAGCTGAATTGACCGTTTGGGTCCACCACACGTCCTATCAGTCAGGGATTTGACTTTGAAAAGATTTTTCTACAAGAGGTCCTTGATGGGTGAGGCGAGGCACGAGAGGTGTTGCAGCGTTGCAGAAGCGGAGTACGGGCCTTTGCATCCACGGTGCAATTGTGGATGAGTTCGGTTCGTTTGCTAACGTCTATTCAGTTCGTTTCGTTGGGATCACTTCAGCATACGTAGCCAGCTCGTTCCATGAGCAATCACCTCGTCCGACGCGTGGTTGGTGTGGGTCACCTCAGATGACACGTGGAGGGTGAGGTGACGGGTTTGACGCATACCTGTACCAGTGCGAAAAGGCCAAAAACAACAAACGGAGAAATGGTCAAAACTGTTTGAGTCATCATCACTTCATGCACGCTGCACGCATACGCTAAAGTCAATATCTCAGTGGTCGTCGGCCCCAACCCCACTCCACTGTACCCAACCTCAAGAATCTCCTTTTTACTTGTGTTCGTCCATTGAGTTACCTCAGTGGGAAAATGAAAATGAAAGAAAAAGATGGTGGAAAATTGCATCCCTTCTTTGACCCGACATTCAACATTAACAAAACTATTGTTTCTTCTTATAATTCCAGTCCACCCTCAAGTCTCAGCTTAACATCAAATCGAAGAAGCTTGCGAATACCACGAGTAACTATCTATTTATCTATCTCTTTTTATTGCTAATTTTAGCAGATATTTTTGCTTATAAGCATACAGGTATCTGTTGTTGGGTTTCTATTTCGAACAAAAAAGTTGATTTTTGTTTCCTTTTAATTTACTTGAGGTGGCTTGAAAGATATGATCCCCTTTTGTGGTATCTGAGGTGGGTTTCTCTGATTTCTTTTGAATTTTTATATGTTAAATAATTGGGTTGGGTGAATTTTCCGTTGCAGGGGTGCATAATTGAGTTGACTCGTGTGGGTTCTTGTTCTTGCTTTCCTAATTTCATGATTTTAATAAAACGAAGTAGTTAACTCTTGCGTTCCTGTAGGCAAAATTATTCATCACTATTTACACTTTGTTCTTTCCTCCTAGTTAGGTTTTTGATGTTGGAAGTGGAAGCTGTACTGTTAAATTGACTAAATTGAATTGAATGATTATGTGTTATCTTTATCTAATGAAATTCTGAGTATTCTCCCAACTCGCAAACTCAAGTGTTGATGTAGATGATTAAGTTGTTATGAACAAGCTGGAAATATGCTGCACCTTAAAACTTGCCTTTTCTTGTCTGCGCTATTTTTCCCCTAGTGTTGGAGACTTCTGGATATTTCAGCCTCTTTGTCGATACAATGATCATAGATGAAGTGGTTTTGCAATTGATTGTCTATATTTGAAATAATCTCTGTTGGCATTTTACATTATCCCCTAATTATTATTTTTTACTCTCCCTAAAAGCTTTTTGAATGTTTAATCTTAGTTCTGAATTTTGGTTGTGTTGATCTTGAATTTGTTTCAGCAACCAAACTTATGAGGCTTGCTTCTCAGTGACTAGTATATTGTTTCCGTGTGTAAAAGCAACACCTTAAGTCGGTCAACATACTTCGTCCTTTCTGGGTTATGGCTGCTTTCGTCATGAGGATGGTCTTCAGTTTTAGAGCTCTCCCTATTCTCGCCATCTGTACTTGGTTACTCTTCAGTGAATCTTTCAGCTATGCTGCTGAGAGCGATGTCAACTGCCTAAAAGCTATAAAATCTTCTTTGAAAGACCCAAACGGTTACTTAACAACTTGGAATTTCGAGAATAGATCTGAAGGTTTCATCTGTAAATTTATTGGGATTGACTGTTGGCATCCGGATGAGAATAGGGTCTTGAATATCAAGCTGGGGAACATGGGACTTAATGGCACGTTTCCATTAGGTGTTGCTGGTTGTTCGTCCATGACGGGGTTAGATCTTTCTAGTAACAAAATCCATGGAAATATTCCAAATAACATCTCTCATATAGTTGGATTTCTGACGAGTCTCGATCTTTCCAACAATGAGTTATCAGGAGAGATTCCTGTAGATATTTCCAATTGCACTTACCTGAATGTCCTCAAACTTGACAACAACCAGTTAACAGGCCAAGTCCCTGCACAGCTTGCTCAACTTAGCAGAATCAAGGAATTTAGTGTGTCAAACAACCAATTGACTGGACCAGTTCCGAACTTCTCAAAAAATGATGGTATTACTTCAGAGAGTTATGCGCATAATCTAGGACTTTGTGGCAATCCGTTGCCGCCTTGTGAAGGTGCTTCCAAGAAAACCAACATTGGACCAATTATTGGGGCGGCTCTTGCAGCTTTTGGTGTGAGTATTGACATGTTCGTCTGTATTGGCATGTTCTTCTATATGCGCAAGGTGGCTAGAAAGAAGAAGGAAGGAGATCCTTTAGGCAACAAATGGGCAAAGAGTATGAAGGGTTCCAAAGGCATCAAGGCAAGATAGACCTAGATTTTCCTGGAATTTTTGCTTTTATATATAACAATTATTTATTTATATAATTTTTTTCCTCTTCATGTAGAATCTGTAGGTAAGTGCTGTATAAGATTTATTTTTATTTGATTTTCTCTATACAAGGAACAATCAACACAATAGTCATATCCTCTTGTTTCAGCTTTCAATGTTTGAGAGGTCTGTTTCCAAAATGACACTAAATGATCTCATGAAGGCTACCAATGACTTCAGGAAAGAGAATATAATTGGGTCAGGAAGAACAGGGACAATGTACAAAGCAGTACTTGAAGATGGCACGTCTCTTATGGTGAAGAGATTGCAGGATAGTCAACAATCAGAGAAAGAATTTGTGTCTGAGATTTCCACTCTAGGAAATGTAAAGCATCGGAATTTGGTTCCGCTTCTCGGCTTTTGCATTACTAAGAAGGAAAGACTCTTAGTCTATAAGCACATGACAAACGGTACCCTCCATGATAAGCTACACGTTGTGAATGATGGCAAGAAACCTTTAGATTGGCCTTTGAGGCTTAAAATTGGGATAAGAGCAGCAAAAGGATTTGCATGGATGCACCACACTTGCAATCCCCGTATTATTCACCGAAACATAAGTTCTAAATGCATCTTACTGGATATGGATTACGAGCCTAAAATTTCCGATTTTGGACTTGCTAGGCTCATGAATCCAGTCGACACTCATTTGAGTACTTTTATAAATGGTGAATTCGGGGACTTGGGTTATGTTGCTCCGGAATATGCAAGAACTCTGGTTGCCACTCCAAAGGGGGATGTCTATAGCTTTGGGGTTGTGCTTCTCGAGTTAGTAACCGGTGAGAAACCGACTTATGTGGCTAAAGCGCCCGAAAGCTTCAAGGGAAATCTAGTTGAGTGGATTTCCCAACTCTCTAGTACCTCAGAACTTCAAGATGCAATCGACAAGTTGTTGGTCGGGAAAGGGTACGATAGTGAGCTTTTCCAGTTTCTTAAGGTTGCTTGTACCTGTGTGTTGCCGGCTCCTAAAGAGAGGCCTACCATGATTGAAGTGTACCAGCTTTTGAGAGCTAATGGACAGCGTATTGACTTCACCACAGAAGACGACGTTTTGGCGTTATCGGAAAATGGCAAATTTTGGTGTTATCCGATAATGGCAACGCTGATCAACTAGAAGAACTCATCGTTGCTCGAGATGTGTAGGAGATCGATTTTGACAAGTTAAACGAAGATATAGTAGCAAGTCGAGCCATAATCCCATGTGTAAATTATCTGTTGTCGTAATTTGTTTAATAAATTTACTTGTCAGTTAGATTACACATTGGTAAATTTAAGATGATGGCTTATGCATAACACTATCCAGGTAAATTGCCGACTTACAAAATTGTACAGCTTTTTTATTTCATTTTCTTCTATTTTTCATACCAAAGAATGTGGGTGTCTTGTATTGATCTTGTCTATCGTATGGTGTTTTTTTTCAAGAAGTGTTGTCTATTCTCTGAACATCTGTGTTATTTATTCCGATCCTTTTTGACTTGTAACATGCTATATTTTTCCTTCCATACTTTGAGAACTAAGATGAGGATATATATACGCACGTTAGGCAGAACCTTTACTTCTTGTTGAAGAGTTCATGAGGAAGTAACATTTTATTGATCATTTACATATAAAAAAAAATGATATTCCAACATGATTATTTGCATATTCTTTTACAGATTGTTGAGGTGACAAAAAGAAAGTGGGAGAGTTTTATTATTTTTAGTTGGTTTGTGAAATTTTTACTCTATCATATCATATTACATCATCTGTAATTTGTGATTACATGTAATATAAACCAAAAAAAGAATATGTTAAGGCCCCGTTCGGTAGGGATTAAAATCCAATTAAAATTGAAAATATGGCCGTTATTGGGTCCTACTCGTCTAATAAAAGTCAACAATAACGACTATTTTTTCAATTTTAATCTGATTTTAATCCCTACCGAACGGGCCCTAAATAAAATACGAGGAGAAATCAATAAATATATCTTGAAAAATGTAAAATTAAGAGCTAAAGCATAGGGCATTGTTTGGAGTGTATAAAAAGTTCTACTCTCTAAATTTTAAAATGTTCTCTACTATACATAAGATGCTCTTTATAAATAAAAAGTTTTTTGAAGATGCTTCTTCGATAATTCTTCCAGAAACCAGATACCAAAATATTCCAATACAGATTACAACAAAATGCAAGAGAGCTTCAAAAAGACCGAGATTATCCCAAGTTTCTGAGGCGGGAATCCTTGTTGATTTGAGACGAGGCAACGCGAGATAGAGATGAAACATATTGCCATCCTATGCTATGATTCGTGTGACTTGACTCTAGTGAAAGAAAAAAATATAAATAATGACATTCATTTTATTCATTTTTTTTCTTATGTGGTTAATTCTACACGAATAGAAGGCAATTAAGTTCCGATTAACTTGGATAATATGACACAAATTGACATAGTTTATAAAATATAATAATTAACGTATAAAGTGTCAAAAAAGAAAAAGAAAAATTAAATTAGGATTCTTCTGCTGTCAGATTAAATTATCTTGATATGGAAGATGGCTATCTATTAATAAAATAAGAATAAGAAAAGGAGTTGTTTGTTGGACAAATGTATTTATTAATTATTCCTAGATAAGTGAATTATTCTATAATTTATACTAAAGAAATGAAATAAAGATGGCACAAAATATTTTTCTTCAAGATTCAAAGTGTAATTCATAGTTTTATTTGCAAGTAGTTTAAATAACGATTCTGCCCCTGAATACACAATAGTTATATTCTTCAACCAAACATTTTGAGTCGAAATTTCCTTCCGAGTAAATTAAGCCAAGTTCTTGTACGTTGTTAATTCTTGCGTGGCTTTGAAACCCATTTGAACAGTAATTTTTTGGAGAATGTGTGGTTAAAAAGTAGGAAAAGATTTTGGACTTACATGTATAATATTTTATTGTCTGAACGTGTGGTTGAAATGAATATTTAAAACAAAGAGTTTTTAAATAATTGTTGTCAAATGGGGGCTTAGCTCTTTGCTATCTACCAAAAATATGAATGCTTTATATGAGAAAATGTAAATTGTACTTTGTGTCGTGTTTGATGTACTTATAAACAGTATTATAAAAGGTCCGTCTAGGCAGCGTGCATTTATTTTGCAAGTAGTATTTGACTATTTTTCTTATTTTGAAGTTCAGTGTAGCGAAATGTTCAACTACTAAATTTTAAAAGGGAAATAAGTCAAAAAAAAAAACCCTAGCCCAAATCTAACACTTGTGCATACTTTTCTCAACCCACAAACAAAATATTATTGATTTGGAGTATTTATGATTTTTAGAATTAAGTTTTTGTTGAAAATTTGAAAAATGTACATGAAATTCGTATAAATTTCAAGGTATACATTATTTTATTTATTTATTGGCCTAGAACAATTAAAATAATATTAAAAATATGAACACACTTGTACATGTTTGATATTTGACCTCTACGTCTCGTTACACCTTATGCATTTTAAAACATTATTTATTAGTATCTTTAAAAAAAAATATTAGTTTTACAGAAAGCCGTTTACAGATAAGATATAACTGTACAAAATCCCTTCAACTTTTATATTTTACACCACGAGAAGTGAAAACTAATCAATCGAAAGTTGGCATACATCAATTCCACAAAAAATGCAAAATAAGAAATTGAAAATAAACTAATATTAAAAAAAAAAGGCATTAGAGATAAAGGAATATTTGCAGTGGAGATTCCAAACCTTTTAAATAAGTGAAGTACAATCCTAAACCTTTAAATCATAGCAAATATGTTCCAAATCTTTAAAAAATTTGCGATCGAAAAACGGTTGGACAGTTTTCATTTAAAAATCCGTTAGTTGATCAAAATTCAAGCACTTGACAATCTTTAAAAGGGTAGAATGATAATTCTACATTTTTCCACTTAAACAATTAATAAAAAGAAACATAAAAAGAGAAGAAATTAAAAAAGGATGTATTTTTCATCTTCTCCCGTTCCACCCCTCCTAAATTTTCCAAGAAAATTCCCTGAAGACTAGATAAAGTGGAGAAGGTGAAATTAAATATTTTTTTTCCGTACATTTTTTAATGATCGATCCAAGTTTCACACCCTTCGAATTAAACTTTACCAAACACCATGGTGCCCCTTGCAATGCATGCATAATGAACCACATCCGGATATGGATATATCATTTGAAGCTGACCTAGCTCGTGTTGTTCATAAAATACTTGCTCGCTTATGTTTCTTGTTTCAATAGACTTATTGCAATTAAAAATAAAATTTAAATGTCTAGGTCAATAACTATTGAAAGTCAAGAAGAAGGGTAGTCGTGGGAGATTATCTAAAATAGAGAATTTGAATTCGTGTTCCAATATAAAAAATATGAATAATATCCATTTTTAGCCCTTGTTAGACAATCATTAATTATGGAAAACAAAATTTTGAATAGTATTTTTCAGTGTTCTAAAAGGCGTAATGCGTGGCGATACATGGAGGCCAAGCTCAAGGCTAGGCAAGTTTAGGCGAGGCATATGCGTAAAAAGACGTTTTCTTATTTTAATCAATTAAAAATAATACTTATTAAACATTTAAAACAAATTTATATGAACTTTATACATTTTTTCAAAGTTTCCAACAAAAATATAAGTCTTAAATTTAAATACAAAGTAGTAAATAAATAGCATANAATTTAAATACAAAATAGTAAATAAATAGCATATGAATTTAAATTTTATCTAACTCTTTACCGGACTCCAATTCAATAACATCTTCATCTAATTCATCCTCCATGTCTTCTGATATAAAATCCTCTTAGTCAGGCTCCCTTATTTCATTTTCCACCCCATCATGCTCCTCATCATCACAACCCTTTACAATCTAAGTTTGTGCATTAATTGCATCACTTGTTAATAGAGTATCTATTTTGCCCTTTGCCAACCTTGCATTAAATTGGACATAGACAAGATTCGCTGGTCACCTGAAATTTGGGTTCAAATGGTTGTTTTAATTTTAAATTATGGCAAATTGAAAAAATTAACATTTAATAATTTTTAATTTCAAAAGAATTGAAAAAAAAAAAGCGCCCCAATCAACACTGTCGTTGATTGCCAAATAAGATGCTAACCCGTTAGGCTCGGCATTTTGACCCCGCCTCACGCCTAGGCGCGCCTTTTAGAACACTGGTATTTTTAGAAGAATGCGTTATTAAAAAGTATGGAAAACATAGACTTTATTTTCTTTCTTTATTTTATTTTGTTCCATTTTATTTAATTATTTGGAAAATTGTAGAGTTATCTTTTTGCCCATTTTAAAAATGTTAAGCATTTGACTTTTTGTTAACTAACGAATTTTTGGACATAAATCGTCCCGATGTCTTTTTAATGAATATTTTGAAACTTTGGTATGTATTTGTTATGATTTAATAATTTGGGACTTTTTTGCACTTTTTAAAAGGTTGGGACATTCGCTATAAATATTTTAAAAAAATAAAATAAAATGAAGTGTGTGCGCTTTAGAAAAAGTAGAGGAACAGGGATAATGCATGTGTGAGCGCGTGCGAGTGTGTGCTTTTGTACGTGTAGCTGTCGGGGGTTTGTCGTAAATACAACTCTTCCCTCATTTTCTACTACTGCTACTTTCCTCTTTCATTCTCTCTCTCTAGGGATTCGCACTTTATCCATCTCTCACCAACAAACCCTCGTTCCCCCAAAATGGTCTGATTTCTAGCCGTAATTCGCCGCCGCCACACCATCTCCTTCCGATCCGGTAACAGTTATTCTTCTCTCTCTACGCTTTCAGATCAAGTGTTGTTTCTAGCTTTTTTTAGTTATTTCAACTGGAAACTGTGTACTTTCCTAAATTACTTCGCGGCCTGCTAATCGAAGTACACGAATCATTTTTAATCTACTTTGTTTGCCTATATTTTGCGGTATGTTTTCTGATCTAAGTAATAGTATCCGTAATTAACTCTTTCTTATTCGAGATTTTTATGTCGGGGATGTTTCCGTTTTTGGATTTTTCTTTTGGTAACGGTTTATCATTTTATTTATTTATTTATTTTTTAAGTTGAACTTCTAATTTTAATTTTTACTATTTTTCGTGCATTCCTATTTCCTTGATGTGGTTTCTTAT